AGTGTGGCGGGCACACCTTATCCCCCCCCGGGAGCCAGTCTGTAGACCAGGGAAGGACAACGCAGGAGAATGCCCGCCGCCATTGCCGGCCGCGGTCACAGCATGAAGCCGGGACCTGGCTTGAGTTCCAAGCCTAGCAGAGTCCGCAGAGCAGAGCAGTCAGTGGTTGGGCTTGGGAACGCGATTACTACGGACTGATCGGGTTAACCAGCGAAGACTGCTTGACTTTCTGAGGGACGCTCCCGGGCTGCCTCTGTCGAGGCCCAGGATGTAAGCCGAGGCAGGAAGCCCCAGGAAGTGACAAGACGCCTGACATCTGAGCCTCATAGGAGCATCCGGGGACCGGAAGTGGCGCCGCGCTCCATCCTGCTGGCTCAGCAAACAGCTGTCTCGGGCTGCACCAGTTTTCCCTCTCCTTGTCACGTCCCCCATGCGCACGGCTAGTGACGTCCCCACGCAGGAGCCGAGGGGCAGGGAGGCGAGCAAGGTCAGTGTCACCGACCAGCAGGGGGCCTCGCAATGGGAAATGATGGCGGGCACTCTGACGGGACAATGGCACGAGGGACCCCAACAGTGTTTCCAGTCTGGAATGAGGGCTGCTGGCACGGCCGGGAGGCCCCTGAAGATCGAGTGTCTTCATTTCCCTTCCCCCTGCACCTGACCAGAACTCGGAGAGCAGTCCCCTCCCCGGTCCTGAGTAGATGAATGGGCGGGTCAACTGGTAAATCAATCCGAGAAAACGTGAATGAGCTCGAGCACCTGCCGTGGAGCCCCACCAGCTCAGTCGAACGGGGGCAGTTCCCTGTGCCAAGTGCTTCTTGTCTCAGTGCATCTCCAATTTTCTTTCAGTTCCTGCGTGGCACTAACTGGTCGTCACTTGAGATATTAACATCGGGGAATGCCAGGTGACAGGCACAGGGGGATTTTCTGTACTTTCCATATCAAAACAAGAAGTTAAAATCAGCTCTGTGCTCTCCTGTCTCCTGGGGGCACACAATGCCTTGTCCTGGCCAGGCGTTGTCCTTACGTGAAACAGCAACCACTTCTAGAAGGAAACGGAGCTGGGAAGGTAGCTGTGGATCCCCCTAAGGCCTTTCACTGGTCCATCCCCGAAAGAGAAACAGCATCTCTGGTCAGCGAGCCTAGGGCTGGATTTGCACACGTGTGGCCCAGGTCCTGGACTCTTGGTGGTCTGCCTTCTCCCACTCCTGGGCCCCTCACATGGATCAGGACACAGGTCTTTGTGCTTAGAAATGAAGGGGTGCTGGGGAGAAAAGGCCGTGACCTCCTTGGAGCTGGCTTGGCAAGGGGTTCCTCTGCGTACCCCTCCAGAGAAACGGTTCCGCTTCTTGCCTCAGAGCTTTGCACATGCTGTTCCCTCTGACGGTAACACCCTTCCCTTCCATGCGGTAAGCACCTCATGGGACCTAGGGGCTCAGCTCAGCCCTTCCTCTGTGGCTGACCTCCCACACCGCGAAGAACCCCCTTCACCCCACCTCTCATGGCACACCGAACAACTGACTGCAAGCTGAAGCTGTGTCTCTCCGCTGCCCTGTGGAGATCCCAGGGCAGGGCGCAGTGTTGTCTTATCCCTCTCACTCTCACGCCACCTTGCCGGGGATATGTTATGTTTTGATATCAAATGGATTGACTAGAAAGTTCCAATTGGTTTTAATGCTTTTAAATGTAATTTAAGTAATTACATATTTTACTTAATTTGGGCATTTTGTGTAGCAGACAAAAATCTTTTAAAAGATGAGGAGGGGCCCTTTAGGCAGGAAAATACAAATATTTCTCCATGACTGACAGCCTGGGTCAGGAGCAGACCAGGCCTGGGCCCCTCAGCCTCGGCACTGCCGACGTCTGGGCTGGAAACTCAGTGGCGGGTGTCCAGCAGCACCGCTGGCTCCACCCAGCAGATGCCAGTAGCAGCTTCCCAGTGGCGACAACTAAAAGTGTCTCCGACGTGGCCCAGCTGTGCCCTGGGTGGGCAACGGCCCAGTTGGAAGCCACTGGGCTAGTCATCCCACAGGCTTCGATGCAGCGAACGGTTCCTTCGCCACCTTGACGTTGCCCAGGTGAAACTCCTCAGAACCTGCGTGGCACATCCGGCATCTCTCCCAGGCTCTGCCCAGGATCACAGAGCCCTCGGCCACAGCAAAACCACTTGCCACTAAACGAAGGCTTTGATCGCGACCAATTTCTTCAAGTGCTCTCTGAAGGTTCTGCTTCAAATATTTATGGAGTCTCTGAAACGGCCCCAGAGAATGAGCGGACCTATTACATTTATAACTCCAGCGGTGATTTATGGACCTGGGAGATGCTGCAGATGCTTTGTCTAAGCTCTTTGTGAAAAGCCACGATCCTCGCTGGGCTCAGGAGCTCTGAGTGTGGCGGGAGGCCGTCAGCTGGGTGGGCAGGGCAAGGCACCCGGTCTTTCTCCTGCAGGCTGAGGGCAGGGAGTCCCGGCTCCGCAGCAGCCGCAGCCAGGCACAGTCCAGGAGTGAGCATCGGCCCCACGGGCAAGGAGAGCTGGAGGCAAGAGGACAATGAAACGGTCCGTTTCCCCACGTCTGTAAACCCCCTGTGACCGCACAGTGCACCCAGGGGAGGGACGGCAGCGGTAACCAGCACTTTTTGAGCCCTTCCTGTGCCTGGCACCACAGGCCCCTCACACACTCGCTCACCCCCTTGTACTGCAGGGAAGCGAGGCCCACGCCGTTGGTCCTGGGCTGTGCAGGAGGGGCTGAGATTGGGTGGGGCAGGCTTTCACTCCACAGCATCCAGAAGGTGCCTGGCAACACAATCACTGACGGGTACCCTCATAGAGTGGATGCCCTCCATAAATTTTCTTGTTCCCAGTGACCAGAGAAAGTGACCTTCCCATCAAAGATAAATTGATGTTTACTAAATGCTGGCTTTATGCCCAGTGCTTCCAAGGGCTCCCCCAAACATGCTGTTTCATTTTCATTTAATTATCCCAATAAGCTATTATCAGACCCACTTTAGAGATAGAAAGCAATGGGGACCAGCTATGTCGCTGGACTCCCATGTAGTCAACTATGGTTCGAGTCCCGGACCTGGTGGCTTAAACTCACGCTGGGCGCGTGTGCGTGCGTGCCCAAGATCCCGAGAGGAGAATGGAGGAGAAGGGATTGCGGCGTGACCATCCCCCCTGGGGGGTGATTTCTTGCTTTCTGTCTCTATGTCTCTCTCTGTCTGTCTGGCGAG